CCCCGCTGTAACGTTCTCCTCGCCGCAGGGCATGCTCCTTGAGGACAAGGCCGCCAGGAAACCTTCCCTGAACCCCAAGACCAGGCCGCGGGCCTTTCTCCAACGGCACCCTGGGCTGCCCCTGCCCCTGCCCCGTTGCAGCCGGGACCTTCCTTATTGAGGTCTGCCCCACAGCGTCCCCACCCCTCCCGGGCTGGGTCCTGATGCCAGGGACTGGCCTGAGCCCCTCTGCGTCTGGTACAGGAGCTGGCCCACACAGTGCCCGGAGTGGGGTATTGAGTGAGGGAAGAGCCCCTTGTCCCTCTCTCTCTGATTTTCTGCCACTTGTTGAGGGACCACCAGCCTTTCTTGGCCAGGCCAGCACCCCACCAGCCACCCCACAGTGGGAGCCATTCTGGTTAGATTGGGCATGGGAGAGCCCCTCCATCCTGGTCGCCCTGGGGACGGGTGTGGAAAGGGGAGGGGACAGAGTCTGAAGGCCCATTCTGTCCATTCTGTCCATTGTGACCTACCCTGACCTCACAAGCATCATCCTTCCCACTGCCAGGTGTGAGAGGTTGGGGGGGAGACTCACCTGGCCCGGAGCCCCCAATGAGCCGCCTCTCCCCAACCCCCCCAAAACACAAGGGGGAGCACAAAGGCCACGCTCTCCCCCGTGGTTCAGACAGGTGGGTCAGGACAGGAGCGGGGTTCCTGGAAGGGCTAGATGAAGGGGCTGGGAGGAGGGTGGACATGGATGATCTGCCCTCACCTGCTGGTTCCACCTGTCGGGGCCAGGGGTTGCTCTTCCCGGGACAAGGACCGAAGTGCGACAGTCGCTAGTTCTGTGCCCATGCCCGCTGGAGGGAAAGGTAGCCGTCCCACTTGCCCCGGATCTGCATCTCAGAGAACCCCCAACCGTCTCATCCACGAGAAGTCCCCATACTTGCTCCAACATGCCTACAACCCTGTGGACTGGTGAGCGCCTCTCCTACCTCAGCCCTGCCCCCCCACGCCCACCCAGACTTCTTGGGCTGCTGACCGATGCCCTTCCCTGCTGGCCCAGGTACCCCTGGGGACAGGAAGCCTTTGAGAAGGCCAAGAGCGAAAACAAGCCCATTTTCCTCTCAGGTAACTTAAACACTTTCCCTGGGATTCGGGGAGAGGCATGGGAGCTGGGGCAGGACCTTCTGGGTCTCAGGGTCCCCCAGCAAACCAGAGCTCAGGGCCTCTTGGGCCCTGCTGGGCCCCGTGACGCGTCCTCCCATTGCTGCCCGGACCCCATCCAGTGGGGTACTCCACCTGCCACTGGTGCCACATGATGGAGGAGGAGTCTTTTGAGAACGAGGAGATCGGCCGCCTGCTCAGCGAGGATTTCATCTGCGTGATGGTAGACAGGGAGGAGCGGCCGGACGTGGACAAGGTGTACATGACCTTCGTGCAGGCAAGTGCCCTCCCATAGGAGTTGTGGAGTGGGGTGGGGTGCCAATGCGGGGCACGCTCACCCCTCGCCCTCTCTCTGCCAGGCCACCAGCAGTGGGGGCGGCTGGCCCATGAGTGTGTGGCTGACTCCCAGCCTCCAGCCCTTTGTGGGGGGCACCTACTTCCCCCCTGAGGATGGTCTGACCCGAGTTGGCTTCCGCACAGTGTTGCTGCGAATACGGGAGCAGGTGGGTATGCGGGTATGGGGGGCATGGGGCGTGGGGATGCGGAGCCCTGCCCGTGCTGACCGCAGGCCTGCTCGGCCTCTTGCAGTGGAAACAGAACAAGAACACCCTGCTGGAGAACAGCCAGCGGGTCACGGCGGCCCTGCTGGCCCGCTCCGAGATCAGCATGGGCGACCGGCAGCTGCCGCCCTCCGCTGCCACCATGAACAGCCGCTGCTTCCAGCAGCTGGACGAGGGCTACGACGAGGAGTACGGTGGCTTCGCTGAGGCCCCTAAGTTCCCCACGCCTGGTCAGTGCTCCCCGCCTGGCTACTTACTTCCTCCTGATTCTTGTTCTGGTCACTCACCTTCTTCTTCCTGACTGCCCAGGGGGCCGCCTCGCCCTCGGCTCGTTGGTGGCCTTCTGGTCCATCTGCCAGTTGTCAGTGAAGACCTGATGTCTGTGTATGGATGGGCTCAGCAGTGCCCGCCTGGCCCTGGCCCTGTGGCTGTGACCTGGCCTATAACGTCTTGGGCTTTGGTCTCGTCAGTAGAAGAGCCATGGTAGTGTCGTGATGACCCACTGGGTTGCCAACTGCGAGGTCGGGAGAAAGATGAGGCTGTCTACTCCCATAAAGAGTGAGAGCAGCCGTTCCCCACCTATGGGTTGTGATCCCTTTGGGGGTCGAATGACCCTTTCACAGGGGTTGCCCGATTCATCACAGTAGCAAAATGACAGTGATGAAGTAGCAACGAAAATTACTTTTATGGTTGGGGCGTCACCACAACATGAGGAACTGCATGAAAGGGTCGCAGCATGAGGAAGGTGGAGAACCGCTGTGCTAGATTCTCAGAAACTTGTCACCGTGAGTCAGTATTTACTTGACGGTGGCAGAGAGTTAGGGTTGGTCAGTCACCTCCTGATCCTTTGCTGACCAATTCCCTTTTGACTTCTGGCTGGGGCAGCAACCTGGCCTCGGGGTTAGCCACTCACTTCCTGACCCTCTCAGAGCTCCTAGTCCCGGCCTGGCCAGAGGCCCCAAATTCTCTCACCTGTGTGTTCTCGGCCCGGCAGTGATCCTGAGCTTCCTGTTCTCCTACTGGCTCAGCCATCGACTGACTCAGGACGGCCCTCGGGCCCAGCACATGGCCTTGCATACCCTGAAAATGATGGCCAATGGGGGCATCCGGGACCACGTGGGGCAGGTGAAGAGGGCCAGGCATTCCCAGGAGGGGGGCACCAGGAGGCAAGGGGATGGGGACAGAAGCTGGCATCAGCCCCGTGTCCCACCTGGCACAGGGCTTTCACCGCTACTCCACGGACCGCCAGTGGCACGTCCCCCACTTTGAGAAGATGCTCTACGACCAGGCCCAACTGGCTGTGGCCTACTCCCAGGCCTTCCAGGTGACCCCTGGCTCACCGCCGAGCCAAGCCACCGTTCCCCAGCCTGTCCCCTCCCCAGGCCTTTCCTGTGACTCCTCTTATTAAGCAATGTCAACTCGGAATTTGCTCCCCGACTCCACCCATGAATCAGGCTCCCGGCCCTGACCTTTCTGAGAGAGCAGACCCTAGGCCCATGTGTCAGGCCCCCTCCCTGACTTCTGTCCACCCTCCTTCCTCCCACTCAGATCTCTGGTGATGAAATCTACGCTGATGTGGCCAGAGGCATCCTGCAGTATGTGTCCCGGAGCCTAAGTCACCGGGTGCGTGTCCACCAGAGGCAGGTGGGCCTGGCTGTGGGAGGGATTACCCATCTTAGGGCTGGGGCCAGCCAACTCTCCCCTCCTCCCAGTCTGGAGGCTTCTACAGCGCGGAGGATGCAGACTCGGCCCCCGAGCGGGGCATGCGGCTCAAAGAGGGTGCCTTCTACGTGTGGACGGTCAAAGAGGTCCAGCAGCTGCTCCCTGAGCCCGTGCAGGGTGCCACCGAGCCACTGACCGCGGGCCAGCTCCTCATGAAGCACTATGGGCTCACAGAGGCCGGCAACATCAACCCCAATCAGGTGAGGGATGGTGGGGACACGGCCGGGCCCCCGGAAGCCGGCAGGTGCATGGACTCTCTGAGACCAGGCTGTTCTCTCCAGGACCCCAAGGGGGAGCTGCAGGGCCAGAACGTGCTGACCGTCCGATACTCGCAGGAGCTGACGGCTGCCCGCTTTGGCTTGGACGTGGAGGCCGTGCAGACCTTGCTCAGTTCAGGGCTGGAGAAGCTCTTCCAGGCCCGGAAACATCGGCCAAAGCCGCACCTGGACTCCAAGATGCTGGCTGCCTGGAACGGTGGGGTGGCCGGGTCCCAGGCCTGATTGTAGTTACCAAGCTCCTGGGGTGTGCCAGACACCTGCTAAGGGGTCCCCAGAAGCCTCACTTGGAGGAGTCAGCTCAGGACAGACTCCTGAGGGTTTCTGGGTTTCTGGGTTTCTGGGATTGTTACAGTAGTCGTCCTGGGAGAGGCTGGTGGGTTTCAGCCGCTGGCCTTTTGCTTAGCCGTCGAACACGTCACGGCTGTGCCACCAGGGCGCCTCGGCTAATGGTCGCTCCTCCTCTATTGGGTGTGCTAGCCCTAATGTACAGACGTGCATACTGGGGCGTAGAGGGTTTCAATGAGGAGCAGGAGGGCTGGGAGCCGCTTGAGCGCCTGATACAGGTGTAGACCCTGGGCCCCGCTGCCCCAGAGCAGTGTTGGGACTGGCAGACATCTGGGGTGTCTGTACATGCCAGCTGCCCACGACCTCTGGTCTCCCCTCCCTCCAGGGCTGATGGTGTCGGGCTATGCGGTGACTGGGGCTGTCCTGGGCATGGAGAAGTTCATCAACTGTGCCATCAGTGGGGCCAAGTTCCTAAAGCGGCACATGTTTGACGTGGCCAGCGGCCGCCTGATGCGGACCTGCTACGCGGGGTCTGGGAGCACGGTGGAGCACAGGTGTGAGTCGGGCAGGCTTGGGGGGTGGGGAGCTGCCTCTGCCCCTGCCCCTGCCCTCTACTTCCTGAAGCCTCTAGTCCTGTCTCTGCCGGGAGCTTGTCCCCTTCCTGGGTTTGTGGGCTCCCCGCCCCAGAAATTGGCGCATGGCTTCCACCTGGGAGTTAAGTGAAGTCAAGCATGTCAAGCGCCCCAGAGCCCCGCCGCCCACCCGCCCCTGCCCCCCATCTGCTCTCAGTACTCCCAATGTCCCACTCCGCAGCAACTCGCCCAGCTGGGGTTTCCTGGAGGACTATGCCTTCGTGGTGCGGGGCCTGCTCGACCTATATGAGGCCTCCCAGGAGAGTGCGTGGCTCGAGTGGGCGCTGAGGCTGCAGGACACGCAGGACAGGCTCTTCTGGGATTCGCGGGGTGGTGGCTACTTCTGCAGCGAGGCCGAGCTGGAGGCTGGCTTGCCCCTGCGCCTCAAAGACGGTCAGTGGGGGGTGCATGGAGAGGGAGGCTGCACTGAGCAGCGAATGCAAGTGCATGTAGTGGTGAAGAGCAAGCGGTGGGGGTGGGGGTGGGGTGGGGCTGGGCCGTCCTGGGTTCCCTTCCCACCTCCACCATTTACCACGGGGCTGACTTGGGCTTAGTCCCCCTGCGCCCCTGGTTCTCAGCTTCTTCATAGACCAACGTGGGGCTGGCATCACGCTATCCAGCTGGGCGAGGGAAGGTGACTGCATCCGTGTGTACACTCCACACCGTAACCGGCACGGTCTGTGTGTCTCAGAGCCAGCCTGGTGTGGGCTCTGCCCTCAGGAAGCGTACCGTGTAGTTGGGAACACTGCTAGTGCACAGGAAAGCTTCATGCAAAAATGCCCAAAATATGGCCCCATAGAGCTGGGCGAGCCCCCTGGCTTCCCTCGGGGGCACTTAGGCACCGCCCGGTGTGTCTTTACTTGGCTGTTGCAAGTGGCCACTCCTCCTCCTCCAGGGGAAGCCACTAGGACCCAAACTCTCTGTCCACTGCTATGTCCCCGGGGTCTGGTGCAATCTTGATACATGTATATTAGCTGCTCAAGGGGATAAAGGACCTGGCGAGGAACAGCAGAGTGGCCGACTCAGATGGAAGGAAGTCCAGGAAGACCTGGGGCAGGTGGCCCGTAGCTTGAGTATTGACAGGCAGGAAGGAGAGTCCTGGTGGAGGGGACAGTGTATGAGAGGCCCAAGGGGCAGAGAGCCTGCGTCCTGCAGGACAAAGGGGTGTGGCGTCGAGGTGGACAGGGCCGGTGGACCACAATAAGGACTGGACAGCTCTGAGTGCTCTAAGGGGGCCGTGGCCCCATTTGGTGTCGATTCAAGGTCACTCTGTCGCTGGGGTTGCTGGGGAAGAGATGGGAGCAGGGGAAATGGGGAGAAGCTGGTGAGGAGGCCGTTACTGGTGTCCAGCCTGGGCAGGTGTTCGAGAGCTGACCAGGGTAGATGTATTGACGGGAGAGGCGGCCAGCTTTGGGTCCATGCTGCGGCAGACCCAGCAGGACTTGTGGATGGGTTAGAAGTGGAGGGACATGGGTGATGCCCCTTCTGGCTTGAGTATCCCCAACATGGGGGGATGGAGGTGTCAGCAGAGGGATGAGGCGTTCTAGGGCAGGGCGGGGGGTGGATCACCAGTTCTACCCAGGACCAGTGGAGCTAGGCGCCGGTGAGAGAAGCACATCAATAACAGGTGGGGCTGGTGTTCACCTCTCAGGCCCAGGGGAGCCACGGGGGCTGGGACTTCTCTGGAAGGCCATCCCCCCACCCCCACCCAGTGGTTCCCACCGTCACTCCCCACCCCCCATCCCACAGACCAGGACGGCGCAGAGCCCAGCGCTAACTCCGTATCAGCGCACAACCTGCTCCGGCTGCACGGCTTCACGGGTCACAAGGACTGGTTGGACAAGTGTGTGTGCCTGCTCACCGCCTTCTCAGACCGCATGCGCCGCGTCCCTGTGGCGCTGCCCGAGATGGTCAGGGCCCTCTCCGTCCACCAGCAGACCCTCAAACAGGTGGGGTGGAGTGAGGGCGTGAGGGTTGGGACCCTCAGGCGACAGGGCAGTTGGAGTTGCTCTGGAGATGTGAGAAGGGATGGGTGGGGGTCCCAGGGCTGCCTGCCCCCAGCCCCAAGAGCTCTGGTGTAAGCAGCTGTGGCAGGTGTGGGGCCATCTGCCAGTGTGTGTGTGCTTGTGTGTCAGAGGCAGGCTCCCTGGGTCAGCCTGGGAGGTGCTCAGCAGGTATGTGCATGGAGGACGGCAGCCACCCGCCTGTCCCTGGGCTCCCAGAGTGTGGCGGCTGGGAGCGTGGATTCTGTGTGTGCCTCTGTGTACCAGTGTACCTGGGCCTGTGTGTGGGCATCTTTGTGCATGTCCCTACGTGTGGTGTTGCTGGGGGCGAGGACTCTGAGAATGTCTGTGTTTGTCGGTATGCCTGCCTTTCTGGGGATGTGCTCATGAGTGTTTGTCTCTGTGTGTGTCCAATTTCACGATCGTTGGCTTGTATTTGAATGTTTGTATATGGGTGTTGGGCCCCGTGTGTGGTCGGCGCTGGTCTGTGTGAGATCTGCCACTCTGTGGGACTTTGCACCGCTGCTCTGTTTGGCTCCTTGGCCATGGGCCTCCAAGTCTCTATGTTTACCAGTGTTCTGGGCCTGCTAACCTTGAGGTCAGCGGTTCAAACCCACCAGCCACTCCTTGGGAGAAAGATGAGGCTTTCTACCCCTGTAAAGAGTTACAGTCTTGGAAACCCACAGGGGCAGTTCTACTGTCTTACAGGGCCGCTATGAGTTGGAATCAACTCAAAGGCAGTGAGTTTGGTTTGTAGTTTTTTGGTGGTGCTGCCAGGAGCCCTGGTGGCTTAGTTGGGCCACTAACCGGAAAGTTGACAGTTCAAAACCACCAGCTGCACCTCAGGAGAAAGATGAGGCTTTCTACCTCCCTAAGGATTTACAGGGGCCATCTTTGTGAGTTATAATTGACAAGATGGCCGTAAGTTTGGCTTTGAAGTTTTTCAGAGGCACTGTCGGAGAAGCCTTGGACTGATAACCGAAAGGTCGGCGGTTCAAACCCACCGGCTGCTCGGAGTGAGAAAGAGGCAGCAATCTACTCCCATAAAGATTTGGAGGCTTGGAAACCTGATGAATCAGAATCACCTCAATGGTGGTGGTCTCTGGTTTTGGGGGGGTGTGGGTGTCTACTACTCTAAGGGACATCGCCCCTGTGTCCTCCTGTGCATGCGCCACCTGCCCAGCACTGAGTCTGACGGACCCTATCGGCAGCTGGCCTGCAGGATACCGAGAGGAGTCCCTAGTCCTCCTCCTCCCCAGGCCTCCTTCCTTGAACTCTGACATCTCCACTCCAGACTTTGGGGACCCCATTTAGAGAGGAAAGGGCAGGAGCTGAAAGTCCTGTAGGGTTGAGGGAGGGTGGGGGATGGACCCACAGTCGACCCTCAGACACTGTGACCTCTTGTTCCGGCCAGATTGTGATCTGTGGAGACCCCCAGGCCAAGGACACCAAGGCTCTGTTGCAGTGTGTCCACTCTGTCTACGTCCCTAACAAGGTGTGTCCTGAGCCTGCCACCACCCTCTGCCCCTCCCGGCCAGCCTCCTCCCTCCCAGGTCCCCACAGTTCCTTCTCTAGCTCTTCCGGAGGAAGGGGAGAGACAGCCCACCAGTGAACCCCGATGGGGTCCCTGCATTGCTGCCCTGACCACCTCTGTGCTGCCCTAGGTGCTGATCCTGGCCGATGGCGACCCTTCGAGCTTCATATCCCGCCAGCTGCCCTTCCTGAGCACCCTGCAGCAGCAGGAGAACCAGGCCACGGCCTACGTGTGCGAGAACCAGGCCTACTCCGTGCCCATCACCGACCCCTGTGAGCTGCGCAAACTGCTGCTCCAGTGACCATCCCAACCTCCGCCTGCTGAGGTGGAAGATGCTGCTTCCCAACTGACCAGAGACTAGCGCCTGCTGGGCGCAGGCCTCCTCAGCCACCCTCGCTGCCACCCCCACGGGTAGTCATGTCCCCTGGAATAAACCTCATAGTGTCCCAAGGTGAGCTCCGGACTCAGCCTGGCTTGTGAGGGGAGGGGGCCCTACTTCCCACCTGGCAAGCAGCAGCCTTTCTCTGGGAGCCCCTCTGCGCTCCCCCGTTCCGGAGTCACCAAGCTGATCCTGCCCCCTCCTGTGAGCACTGCAGCAGGGTGGAAACTCAGAGGTTGGGGACCCAAAAGGAGCCAAAGCTTTGCTTGGCAGAGTGGCAGCATCTGCTTATGCCCCGGTCGGTGCCTTGTAGGAATAAGGCATTGCTTTTGGGAGACCCACCCAACCCGCAGCCTCACCCCGTCGGACCCGGGGTCTCCCTGCCGGGGGCTGTGTTATCCATCCCCCTGCTTGCATGCAAGGGGCAGAGGTGGCTCAGGCAAGTGGGTCAGGCTGGAGGTCCTGCCTGGCTCTGGGTCAGTGCAGGGAGAGGCTCATGAGTCTGTCCTTGGCACCCAGATCTTTGTAGACCCCCCCCAAAAAAAAAACAGCTTGGGGGAGGGAACTGGGAAGCGTGAGAATAGGGCCAACGGGCAGGAAAGAGGAGGAGCCACCCCAGGGACCATGGAGCCTGGGCACTGCCACACCCCCAAAGCCACGCGGCACAGAGAAGCCAGAAGAGACCATTGGGGACAAGGAGGCCACTGCTTGTGGGGAGCAAGCAGTAGCTATGGGGCTGCACGGAACCGTGCCACGGCCTGCAGGGAGCCACTATCACCCCTCTGCACAGTCACACATACCACCAATGATCACTGGGACGGAGCTCAGCTCTCAGGGCAGCTGGACCTTCGGCAAGCTCCGTGGCCCATCTGGAGGGGATTAAGGCTCTGGCCAACAAGGTCAGCTGGCCCTTTTCTGGCTGTAGCCCTCATGGCCTTGCCAGGAAGGCAGAGGGCTGGGAGCACACGCCTGGCCCGGGACAGGGTGCTGCGGGGAGGGAGGGGCGGGACACGGAAGCACAGGTGGCCCTTTTGGCAGCCTCAGTCCTGGCTTTGGGACAGTCTGGCCGTTGTTCACAAAGCCATTTGGCTGCTGTAGCCTCACCGGCCTTCATGAACAGTCGAGGCTCAGAGAGGGTAAGAGACTGGCCTGGAGCTTCTCAGCACATCTTGTTCTTTCGGGTGGCCTTCCAGGTCAGCAGAGTTACCTCTCCCCCTGGGTGGCCCAGCCCTGCCACAAAGGAGGGTGCACTGTCCCTTCCACACCGCCCTCCTTCCCCACACTCTTCTTTC